CGATCGATCGACGCCACCGAGCGAGATCGAGATCGAATCGATCGAGATCGACGCCACCGATCGAGATCGAGATCGAATCGATCGATCGACGCCACCGATCGCGTCGATCTCGAGATCGATCTCGAGCGATCGCGTGAGCCAATCGAATCGCGCGATTGCGTCGATCCCGTCGCGATCGCGATGGCGGTGCCGACGTCGAGGGACGACGACGCACACGCGCGCGCGACGACCGGGCGACCGAGCGCTCGAGCACGAACGCGGAGAGGCATCACACGCGCGGGACGGCGAGGCGTGACGCGAGAAAGAGGCGATGCGAGCGATGCAGGCGAGAGAATGCGCGACGCGCCGAAGTGGGTTTGGGTTATCCACGGGCGCGCGCGGGCGACGCGCGGTGACGCGAGCGGTGCGCGCGCCCGAGCTGAACACGACGCGATCGAATGAAATCTTCACGGCGGCGCAAGATATCCTCCCGGGGGGGGTGAACTCGCCGGTGCGGGCGTTTAAGAGCGTCGGGGGGGGGCCGATCGTGTTCGAGCGCGTCAAGGATGCGTACGCGTTCGACGTCGACGGGAACAAGTACGTGGATTACGTTGGATCTTGGGGTCCGGCGATCTGTGGACACGCGAATGAACGCGTGAACGCTAAACTCAAGGCGCAGATCGATAAGGGGACGTCCTTTGGGGCGCCGTGCGAGTTGGAAAACATCTTGGGGCAAATGGTGATCGATCGCGTGCCGAGCGTGGAGATGGTGCGATTCTGTAACTCGGGCACCGAGGCGTGCCTGTCGGCGCTTCGCGTGATGCGCGCGTACACGGGTCGGGATAAGATCATCAAGTTTGAGGGATGCTACCACGGACACGCCGACCCCTTCTTGGTCAAGGCGGGTTCGGGCGTCATCACGCTCGGGTTGCCGGATTCTCCGGGTGTCCCGGCCGCCGCGACGGCGACCACGCTGTGCGCGACGTACAACAACCTCGAAGAGGTCAAGGCGCTGTTCGAGGCGAACAAGGGTGAGATTGCCGGCGTGATTCTTGAACCCGTGGTCGGTAACTCGGGCTTCATCGTTCCGGATAAGGAATTCTTGCAAGGCTTGAGAGACGTGTGCACCGCGGAAGGCGCCGTGTTGTGCTTCGACGAGGTCATGACTGGTTTCCGCATCGCCAAGGGGTGCGCCCAAGAGCACTGGGGCGTCACGCCAGATTTGACCACCATGGGTAAGGTCATCGGCGGCGGCATGCCCGTCGGCGCGTACGGGGGCAAGCGAGAGATCATGGACGTCGTCGCCCCGGCCGGTCCGATGTACCAAGCGGGCACGTTGTCCGGTAACCCGCTCGCCATGGTGGCCGGGATCGAAACTCTGAGCATCTTGGGTGAGCCGGGTCAGTACGAAAAGTTGGACAAGATTACCAAGCGCTTGATCGAGGGCATCTTGAAGGCGGGTAGGGACAACGGCCACGCGGTGTGCGGCGGTCACATCAGCGGCATGTTTGGTTTCTTCTTCACCGAAGGTCCGGTTAAGAACTTCACGGACGCGGCGAAGAGTGACACGGCCAAGTTCGGCCGCTGGCACCGCGCCATGCTCGAGGAGGGCGTGTACCTCGCGCCGAGCCAATTCGAAGCCGGCTTTACGTCCTTGGCGCACACCGAGGAAGACATCGACGCCACGATCGCCGCCGCCCAGCGCGCCATGGCTCGCATTTAAGCAATTGAACAATTAAGGAATATCCACGGTTCAAACTGCGCGATTTGAATCACTTGAACACATTTAATGACAAATGAATACTTGCTTTTTTAATCGTTTCGTCGTCGGCGTCGCCCGCGACGCGCGCGTCGACATCGAGCGTTCCGACATCGTCCTCACTCCTCCACGATTGACGAAAACGTCACTCAAAGTTTTCGCGCGAGAGGTTTCGTATGCCAGGCGACGTGCACGCGTCGTCATCGAACCAAAGACCGAGCGCGAGTCTCCACTCGCGCGCTTCTTCATCCGCGCCGCGCGAGAGAGACCGCGCGCGCGAGCAAACGCTCCCGAACATCGCCGAGCACGCGAGGTTCGACGCTCGAACGCTCACTCGAGGCGAAATTCTCGCGCGAACGATTCACGCCGAGCCAAAGCTCAAGGATGGGTCGTCGTACGAGGGTAAGCGACCGGTGTACGCGGTGGACGACTCGCTCGCGGCGCGTCTCGTGAAATCCGGCGACGCGACGCCGAGAGATTTACAGCGCATGGCGTTCGACCTTCGAGGCCGACGAGAACGTCTCACGTTCTTGAGCGATGAAACATTACTCGTGGCGACCGTGGAAGGGGAGAATTTTGCGTGTTTCAGGTACGTCCTGGACGAGGGCGAGTTTGACGCCGAGACGCTTCGGCGATGCGCGGATTTGTGCGCGCGCAGCGGGCACTGGCATTTCGCTCGATATCTCATGGATCGACACGACGTCTTCTTCGACGATACGACGTACAGATCGGCGATCGATGGGAATCAATCAGGATTCGCGTTGGAACTCGTGCGTCATCAGGTGGAATTCGGGAAGAGGACGTTCGCGGTGCTCGTGGACTTTTTTACCGACGCGTGGAGATCCAGACAGTCATCGAACGAGATATCGCTGGAATGCGTGCGAAAAATGCGAGCGTACTTCACTAAAAACTTATCTCACCTCGTTGATGAGGGCTACGACGATTTCGAAGACGAAATAAACGTCGACGTTCCCTTTGATTCCGGGTACGACGGCGCGTGGAAAGAAGACGCGAGCGCGGAGGAAGTTTGGGGTGATTTGATGCGACAAGAGAAAGATTTGGAAGAGTTGTACGCGGCGAACGGACGAGTGCACGATTGGTGCCAAGCGCGAAAGATGCTTCGTCAGAGGTTCGCAGAGGACGTCGAGGCGATGAATAGGAGATGGAGTTGATGAGGCTTCGCCGACGCGAGACGATCGTATCGAGCTCTCAAAGACGTTGATTTGACGCACACGTATGATATCATAACGCACGTAGTAATACATTTTAATAACGAGGAATAATGATCGGTGATGATCTCACCCATCGACAACCCTGAGCGAGCTCGCGTCGGTGGTTCGCACGGGGGCGTTCTCGCACGTGAAGCATCGATTTCCCGCGCGATCGAGCGCGGAGACTATTTCAAACGTGAGCTCCGTTCCGGGAGCGTCGACGCCGCGCGTGATCTCAACATATGCATAGTACGCGTCACCGAGCGAACTCGCGACGCTTATGAAGGCCAAACGACCGTTCATGACGACCTCTGGCGGGGTAACGGGTTCCGAAAACGACACGTAGAGCACGGCGACGTCGCCGTAGTTCACTGTGAAGCTCAGAGTGCCGTCCACGGTGGACCTGTACGGTCGAAGGAACGCGTCGACGACGAACGGCGCGGCGGAATCGAATACGATGGTCGTTCCCATCGTCACTGCGTCGAGGACGAAGACCTCCGTCGCGGAATCGGCGACGCTCAGGAAGACTCTGAACTTCATTGGTCCCTCTTTCACGTACACGCCGCCGTCGCCCAGGCGTCTGGTGACGACGTGCGTCGTCGAGATCGTCTCTGGCGTCGTGAACGATGACGAAGATGTCGTTTTCAGACTCGTCAGCGTCATCTTATCCCGCGCGTCGTCGATGAATTGGACTCGAACGTCCAGCTCGCGCGTCGATTCAATCGCGAGCTCGATCGATACGTGATCGCCGTACGTCGCGTGTCCCTCGAGCGCGTTCGATGAAATCATGCGACACTGGTACGACAAAACAACACCGCTCGTTCGCACCGCGACATCGTCTTGGGTCGACCAGGATTCATTTGATGGATCGTCGTCGTCTCCGCCGTCGGATTCGAAATCGACAAAGTCGTCGTCGTCTTCACCGTCTGGATCTCTCGGAGACGGCATCGACATCGGCGACGGCGGCGGTGGCGCGAGTGGTGGCGATACCATTCCAGAATCGTCCCTGGACGAACGATTTTCGACGAATTCGCGCATCGAAGCGATCTCTCGTCGCACGATGTCCAGCGTGCTCGAGTCGCTCGGCGAGCGGACGGTGAAGCCGTCGTAATCCGGGACCTCGTCCGGGGCGAAGAGCCAAAATAGCGCTCCAGAGCTTCGATCGGTGTCTTCGACGCGCAAGAGCTCGAATACGCGATTGAAAAACATGTCGCGAACGGCGATCGGACGCTTCTTTCCGAACTCTTCGAATATCACCGGCTTATTCGCGCGCGTCGCGCGCTGAAGATGCTCGCGAACCCATCGATCGAGGAACCGAAACTTACTCTCGTCGTCCGAATCCATCCAATCATCCGCCCACACGTGTACGCACGCGAAATCGACGCTCGATCCGAGTAATCGCGTCATATCCACTCCTTGTCGCTCGGCGCCGTTGAACGGATTCAGATCCGATCCGTCGCCTTCGATGAAAAATCCCTCCGTCCCGACGCTCACGAGATGGTTCCCGCGATCGAAATCTTTTATGAACTGGACGAAATGGGTGGACCAGGCGTGGAAGATGTCGCCCTTGGCGTCGCCAGATATCCTCGGTTCGTTAATCAGCTGATACGAAAAGATGCTCGGATCGTCGCGATAATGCTCGCCGGTCGCCGTGTTCACTCGATCGACGATTTTCCTGATAAAGTCCTCGAAGTATTTCCGACACGTCGGTGAGGAGTAAAAATCTTCTCGACGGTGAATCTCGGGCGCGTCGCCGCTCTCTTTCGCCCATCGAACGTACCGATCGATCCCGCCGTAGTCTTCCCAGTGATTCGTCAGGGTGAGAATGAATCGCACCTTCCCCCTCGCTCGCGCTAATATTTCATCCAAGGCGACGAAATTCTTCTCCACAAACTCTCCTCGTCTCGGCTGCATCGCGCGCCCGTCGAACGACCTCTCATCGCCGTCCATGAACGCCCACGTCCTGATTACGTCGATTCCGAGCGCAATCGCGTCGTCCATCGTCTTCTCCGCCTTTTCCTTCTCCTTCGCGTTCCCCAACCAATCGTACCTCAACGAGTACGCATTCGCACCGCGCGCGGTGAGCCGTCGAGCCGTCACACCGTCGACGAAGGCGCGATTCGTCGAGTCCACGCGCGCGATTCCGAACGCCTCGGCGCCCGCGCGCGCCGACGCCCACGCCATCATCATCGCGACGATCGCCCGTCGACCCCTCGCGCCCGGCCCGCGCGCGCTCGAACAGTCACTCAAAACCCCCCGCGCGCGATGCCGTGGCGCCGTCACCCTTCCAACGCTCGCCCGTCGTCGCGTCGCGTCCCGTTCGCCACCGTCTCGGACGACACGACGATTCATGTCGCGCGCATCCATCGTCGTCCCGACCCACCGCGCCCGCGCCGCCGCGCCCGTGGACGGGCGAATTAAAATGACCCGCGTCGCGTCGCCGCGGCGTCGTCCCGCGCGCGTCGTCGCGGGCGTCGACGCGACGTCGTGCCGTCGGCGGTCGGCGCGCGCGCGTATAAATCGCGCGCGTGCTCGCACACACGGCCATCGAGGGCACAGTACGACGTCCACCGCCGCGATCGTCACCCGCGGGATGGTCCTGAACCCTACAGCTGAACCCTAAAGCCCTCGACACGGCGGGCGATCGCCGCGCGCGCGTCGCACCGCCGCGCGCGCTCGGACGCGATGAGCGACAGCGAGAGCGAGTACGACGTCGAGGAGGAAGAGATCGATGAGTCGGAGTTCACGTGTGAGAACGTACGCGCGACGACGCGGTGGATGGGGTGTGCACGCGATCGCGAGGATTCGACCGCGGTGGGGTGACGCGGCGCGCGGGCGGCGCGCGCGTCGTTCGATCGCGAACGCGGCGTGGTGATTTGATCGATCGCGGGGTTGGTTGACTGACGAGCGCGCGCGCGCGATGAAACAGCCGGATGTGGTGACGAAGTATAAGATTGCGGCGGATTGCGCCAACGCGGCGCTCAAGGTCGCGACGGACGCGTGCGTCGTCGGCGCGAAAATCGTCGACTGTTGTCAGGCTGGGGACGATTCCTTGGAGAAGGAGACGGCGAAGTATTACAACAAGAAGGATAAGGATGGGAATAAGGTCGAGAAGGGCGTGGCGTTTCCCACGTGCGTGAGCGTGAATAACCAGGTGTGTCACGCGTCGCCGAACGCCGACTGCGACGCCGTCCTCAAGGAGGGTGATTGCGTCAAGATTGATCTCGGTGCGCACATCGATGGATACGTCGCGACTTCTGCGCACACGTTTGTGATCGGTCAAGATAAAATCACGGGTCAAGTCGCGGACGTGATGAAGGCGTGCGAGTTGGCGAGCGAAATCGTCATTCGTAAGCTCCGCCCCGGGGCTTCCACCGCCGACATCTCGGAGACGATTGAAAACGTCGCCAAGGATTTCGGCGTGAACGTGGTCGAGGGTGTGATGACGCATAATATGAAGCGCTTCATCATCGACGGAAACAAGGTCATTTTGAACAAGCAAACGCCGGAGATGAAGGCGGAACCGACGGAGATTGAAATGTACGAGACGTACGCGCTCGACATCGTCATGTCCTCGGGCGAGGGGAAACCGAAACAAAGAGACGAGAGAGAGACGAGAGTTTACAAGCGCGCGATCGAGAAGAACTATCAACTCAAGATGGCGAACTCGCGAGCGGTGTTCTCAGAGATCTCCAAGCGATTCCCCACGATGCCCTTCACCGCTCGGGCGCTGCAGGAGAAGCGCGTCAACTTTGGTCTCGTCGAGTGCTGTAACCACGGTCTTTTGCACTCCTACCCGGTGCTGTACGAAAAGGACGGCTCCGCTGTGGCGCATATCAAGAGCACGTTCTTGGTGTTGAAGAATGGGAACGACCGAATCACCACCTTTGCGCCGCAAGCGGTGGAGTCGGACAAGAAGCTTAGCGACACGGCGCTTTACGACCTGATCGCGCAGCCGCTGAAACCGCCGAAGAAGCCCAAGGCTAAGAAGTAGGTTTGTTTTGTGATGAGAAAAAAAGCCGATTTTCTACTACAGGATGATTCTTAATGCATCTACTACACGCGCCGCGATGAATGAATGATCTTCAGTATGTGGAAGAAAGTTTCGATTACGACACAAACTCCGTCGTCATGCCGTCGCTTACGCCACCTCCCGGGGCACGAACGCAGAGCAAGACGCGAGCGAGTGTCGTGACTGGTTTGCCGTTGCGTTCGCTTTGCAGAACCTCGGCACCCTCCATGACGTCCACGCTCTCCGCCGCGGCGTTGCTCCCCGCGAGCACGAGGGATGACTTTTTGGAAACCAAGTAATATCTTCCCATTCTCGGCGTCTGCTCGCCGCGGTCGGCGATCAAAAGCCCCGGTTCGGCCTTGTCACTGATCCCGTTCATATTCGTCTTCGACGTGTCGTCGACGAAGAGCGCGAGCGGGGTGATTGAGCACGCCAAGAGCTCCCAGTTGGGCAACGCGACCCACTCCGTGTTGGACTGCGGGGAGAAGACGCCGAAGAGGTTTCCATCCTTTTCAATCGTCCCCGCCGTCTTTATCTTGGCACTGGTCACCCTGATCAGGTTTCCGACCACTGGAACGGGTCTGTAACCGAGCTCCTCCTCCTCCAAACGAACAACCTGAACCTCGGCGGTGATGTTTTCGTCGCCGGCGACCAGTCCCGCGCCGCTCGGCGCGCCGCCGTTAATTTGCGCGACAAACATCTGCACAGCCTGCTCCAAGCGCACCTTCGCCGATTCGCTCAGAGCGTACTTGATCCCGCGCTCGTAAATCCTTTGTGCCTCCTCCTCGCCCTGCCATCGCTGCAATTCCAAGATGTCCCGATACAACTTGTATGCCAAGATGTCCCCCGGAACATTCGTAAAGTCTCGAGCCGCCATCGTGGACGCGCCGGCTTTTTTGATCTCATACGCCTTGACCAACTCCCTGGACTGATCGGAGTCGAACGCGTTATCGACGATGAACTCCGCGGCCACCGCTCTGACGGCGGCGGGGAGGTACATGATTTGCGACAGATTCGGCGCGCCCGTGTACTCGTCGTCGAAGTACTCGAGCTTTTCGTCTGGAAACTTAACCCCTTCCTTCAAAGAGGCGTAGCACTGCAACCACGTGACCCAAAGCGCTTGTTCTTTGGGTTCGATCCCGGTGACGTCAAAAATGTCGTTCGGTTGAAACCCCTTGGCGTTGAGCGGGCGAATAAACTTGGCCAATCGATGCCACGTTCCGGCGCGCGAGCGCATCAACATCATCATGCGATCCGGGTCGTCCTCCTCGGCGCTCACTTTTGCCGTCTCAAAAGTCTCCGGGGGCTTAAACGGCTCGAACGCGCCTTGAAGTTCACCACCAACCTTCGGTATGACCCCCGCCGGACCCTTACGCTCGCCTTCCACGAACGACGCGCCTCCCGGTTTAGAGAAGGTTTGCGTCCCGCTCAGCGGATTCGTGCGCACCGCGTCGGCGTCGAACCCATCCATGCCCGGAAGCACCAACCCTCCACCCCCCGGTGCGCCCCCACGTGACCCACCACCACGCCGAGGGTCACCACCTCGTCCACCGAACGTCGGCAACGAGCTCGGATCGAACTCGAACTCGTTCCCCGCGCGCGGCGCCCGCGAACCCGCCCGCGCGGCGTCCGCCCCGCGCGTCCGTCTCCACACCCCTCGCGCGCCCAAAGCGCTCGCCCCACACGCGCGCGGGACGGTCGACATACTGTTTACACCCCAGCGCGCGCTTTCTCACACCCTCGCGCGCGCGAGCGACCCCTCGGCGGGACCACGTCCGCGCGATGACGCTCGATTGCGTTTCGCGCGGAATCGACGACGCGCGCGACGCGTTCGACGCGCGCGAACGCGTCGCGGACGGGTGCAAACGACGCCCGCGGTGCGCGCGCGGTGCGAACGACGACGGCGACGACGCGGCGACGTGCGAGGGGTCGACGATGTCCAGCGCGCGCGGCGTGGGGTCGAGGCGGCGCGCGCCGGGGGGGGGGTCACGTATTTACGATGGAATATGTCTATGGACGCACGTCGTGTGAACGAGGGAAACCCTCGATCGCGGTCGGGGTGTGGTGTTCGTATTGCGTCCGCCGTAAAGCGATGTGTGTGATTTTCGAGCGTCCTCGGGACGTCCTCGCGTGTGTGTCGTGTGTACACATGGGGTATATTGACTTACAATACTGTGATGTACGCCCGCCCCGACGACCCATGCGCGCGTGTGTGTGTCGTGTGTACACATGGGGTATATGGACACACACTACGGTGATGTCCGCCCGCCCCGACGACGCCCGCGCGCGCGTCGCGACGTCCGCCTTTCCGCGACGCGCGTGCGCACTCGACACCGATGGCGCAGGGCAAGAACAAGCGCATGTCCAAGGGCAAGAAGGGCGGCAAGAAGAAGGCGTACGTCGTCCTCGACGCGATGCGCGCGCGAACGCGGACGACGGACGCGCGCGGGCGCGATCGCGCGGATGACCGCGCGCGAGTAGGGCTTTGCCCGCGCGATCGCGCGCGTCGCGTGCGCGCGGGCGTGATGGGCACGGTGGATCGCGATGTCGAGGGATCGATCGTGGGAGATCACGCGGGATATCGACGACGCGCGGGGGGGGGAGTACGGGGGGCGCGCGCGCGCACGGCGGGATCTTTTCACGACACGCGTGCTTCCTCGAGGATTCGCGGCGCGCCGGATGACTGACTGTGTACGCGCTCGTGACGAACGCAGCGTCGACCCGTTCACGAAGAAGGACTGGTATGACATCAAGGCGCCGAGCATGTTCTCCGTCAGAAACATCGGCAAGACGCTCGTGACGCGGACGCAAGGAACCAAGGTACGGAAGGATGCGAGCGATGGGGAAAGCCCTAAGACCTAGACGCGCGCGCGTCCGAGCGACGCGACGCGCGCGCGTGAAGCCCTGTTGACGCGGAGACTGACGAAATCGTATCCATTTTACGCTCACGCAGATCGCGTCCGACGGATTGAAGGGTCGCATCTTCGAGATCTCGCTCGCCGATTTGAACAACGACGAAGATCAATCTTTCCGCAAGATGAAGCTCAAGTGCGAAGACGTGCAAGGCAAGAATGTCTTGACCAACTTTGCCGGCATGGACTTCACCACGGATAAGATCCGCTCGCTCGTTCGCAAGTGGTTCTCCCTCATCGAGTGCTTCGTCGACGTCAAGACGACGGATGGCTACTCCTTGAGAGTGTTCTGCATCGGTTTCACCAAGCGCCGCATCGACCAAGCCAAGCGCACGTGCTACGCGCAGAGCGCGCAAATTCGTCGCATTCGCGCCAAGATGGTTGAAATCATCACCCGTGAGTGCACGACGTGCGACTTGAAGGAACTCGTCCTCAAGTTCATCCCGGAGGTCATTGGCAAGGAGATTGAAAAGTCTTGCTCGGGCATTTACCCGCTTCAAAACGTGTACATTCGCAAGGTCAAGGTTCTCAAGGCGCCGAAGTTTGACCTCACCAAGCTCATGGAAGTGCACGGTGACTACAGCAACGAAGCCGTCGGCCAACCGGTTGAACGCCCGGCCGAGGAGAAGAAGGAGGAGGCGACCGAGGCGTAAGTGCGTCGATGAAGATGATGTGAGAGTCGCGCGTCGAAAGTCGTCGCGCGTCTGGGGGGGTGTTTGAAACCGCGAGTCGAGTCGGGGAGGCTCAACTTCTAGATTAAATTTCTCGATCGAATCGCGTGAGATCTGAGCGCGTTGTAATCACTATTGATAACTCGCGTTGACGAAAGAACACTGTCGAGCGACGCGCGCGCGGCGCGATGATTGGAACAAACTTTGCGTTTACAAATTGTGCTTTTTTGAAGGCGCCTCGCGACGCGCGCGTGTTAAATCACGCGATTTATCGCGTCTTTTTGACCGTCCCCATCGTCGTCGTCGCTCACTTAAACATCGCCTTGATCTCATCGAATCGAGGCGCGGCGTACAAGTCGCCCGAGGCCGCAAACGTGGGCTCGCTCGCGAGCAAATTGCTCGCCGCCTGCGCGACATCCGCCGCGGTGACCGCGCGAACCTCGGCGATGAAATCATCCGCGGATTTGCGGTACTTGTACGTCAACATTTGCCGACCGATGTCTTCGGCGATGACCGCCTTGGACTCGAGGTTCATCAGGATGGAGCTCACGGTCGCGTTCTTCGCCCGTTCGAGCTCCTTGGCGTCGATCCCACCCTTGGCGGCGACGGCTTGGAGCTCGCTCGCCATAACCTTGGCCATGTCGCCGACGTGCGCCGAGTTCGCCATGGCGGAGATCCCGACGATTCCGGTGTCGTTGAAGATGCTGTGGAACGCCGTGCAGTTCTGGGCCCAGGAGTATCGGTTGAGAACTCGAGTGTACAGGCGCGAGTACATCCCCTTGCCCGGCCCCCCGGCGGAGAACGAGCCGCCGCCGCCCAAGAGCATGGTGAGCACCGTCATCGCCGTCGACGCCTTGACGTCGCGCCAACCACCCTTGAACTCAAATCCAAGAATCATGCTCGCGATCGGGGCGTCCGTCTTTTGGCGGAAATCCCCCCCGGTGTACGTCGACGCCTCTTGCGGCGACCCGGTCGAGGAGCCGTCCGCGGTGAGCAACAAGGGTTCAGCGATGCGAACGAGCTCGTCGTGATCGATCCCACTCGCCGCGAGAACGATTCTCGACGCCTTCATGTTCTCCCGCACGAACTCTCTGAGCGAGTCGCCGTCGATGTGCGAGAGGTCGCCTCCCGGGGCGACGAGCGGCGCCCCCAAACCCCCGGAATACGCCGTCGCGTGCGCCGCCTCCATCAACATCGCCTGCGGGTTCTCGTTCAGCTCCTTCACCTCTTCCTTCAACGACTTCACCACTTCTTCAATCTCGTAATCGTGCAACGACGCGTTCATCGCGCAATCGAGCAACAGTTCCGTCGTCTCCGCCGCGCGCGTCTTCAACGCATCCGCGGCGAAACAAAACTGTTCCCGACTCGCGCTCGCGCTCAGATTCGCCCCGATCACCTCACACTCACGCGTGACGCGAAACGCACTCCTGTTCGACGTCGATTTAAACGCCGCGCGTTCCAGCGCGTGCGCGAAACCTCTCTGCCACGGCTTTTCATGCGCGCTCCCGACGTCGCAGTACGCCCCCAGGGCGACCGTCACCCCCGGCGTGTTCTCACTCGCGATCGTCGCCCCGTTCTTCAGCACCGTCGTCGACGTCGTCGGTCGCGGCGGCGTCGCGATCGCACCGCGCGCGTCGACGTCGTCGCCGTACGCCGCATCCATCGGCGGGAGGGTCGCGATCGCGCCGCGCGATGAAAACATTCCATCGAACACCGAGCGCGCGCGCGACCCTGTCGCGCTCGGCGTCGACAGCGCCGGTTTCGCCGCCGACGCGAGCGCGCGACGGAACGCTCGAGACGCGGGCATGGCGCGCGTCGGCGTCGCGCGTGACGCGATCTCGCGATCGATCGTCGATCGTCGCGCGGGCGCCCCTAAACCCTACGTGTACGTGTAGGGTTTAGGTTGAGGGCACGATGGACCGACGCGGCCACGGCGCGATCGACGCGACGGTCGCGCTCGCCGTGCTCGTCCCCGACGTCGACGCGCACGGGCGCGGCATCGGTGGTGTCCGTGTCCATGCGCGCGCGCACGTCCGTCGCGCGTCCACGCGTGCCGCCGCGCGCGTCGCGTCGCGCGCGCGGTCGGGGACGATTCGCATCGCGACGTCCATCACGACCGGACGCGTGGTGATGTCGATGTAGATGTAAATCACGACCGATCGATCGTGATCTCACGTACCGAGTCTCGATCGGCGCGCGCGCGCGCATCGCGGGGTGTAGGGTTCAGACGACGTCCGTCGCGCGCGTCGACGCGCGCGTCCCGTCGTCGCGAGCGATCGATCGATCGATCGAGATCGTCGTCCGAACGAGGCACCGAGACAGACATCGCAAAAACCAGGCACCGAGACAGACATCGCAAAAACCAGGCACCGACGATGGCGCCCGTAAAAACCAGGCACCCACCGACCGACGCCGGCGACGCATCGCATCATCCATTCGCCCCGCATCCCCGGTCGCGTCGATATCGTCCACGACGACGCCCGCGCGATGCCCGCGCGCGTGCATGACCCCGCGCGCGGCACCGTGACCGAGGACGAGGACGCGCGCGACGTCGACGATGCGATGGGACGATTGATTCAAACCATGATCGCGCGATCGCGCGATGACGATGGATCGATCGACGGCGTCGTCGACCCCGCGGACGTCGCTCGAGCGCGGGCGATGACGTCGATGGTGGCCGTGACGTTGCCGCGCGTGCTCGAGACGATCGCGCGGGTGACGGTGGGGGCGATGGAGACGCGGGCGGGGGAGACGCGGGAGGCGCTCGCGCGCGCGCTCGAGACGTCGCGACGGCGATGCGAGGCGTTGGAGACGCGGTTGCGTGACGCCGAGGACGCGTTGGATGGTGTGCGGGAGCGATTGGGACGGGAGATGTTGCGACGGGGGGGGGATGAGGATGAACACGGGGAGGGGGCGACGCGGGAATCGTTACGGAACGAACTCGAGTTGTATCGCGAGGCGTGTCGACGCTATCGTAAACGCGCGGAACATTTCG